TTATTTTTACATTCCCTTGTGAACTTGGGGTTATCTTCACGTGCAGTATTACAGCTCTCCATCGTTGTTTACATTTAGGACGTTTTGAGGTTTCTAACCAATGTTTTGATACCAAAGAGAGATCTCAATTTCTGTTTCCTAGGATAGAGTATAATGAACTGTACTGGCAGCTAATTTTTCTAAACCTGGGTTTGATTTGCTCTCTGCCTTCCACCGAGTGATCTCAACTGGAATAACAATAACCAATAAGTGGTTCTGGGTCGGGGCACGTGACAAGCGAAGTTTGTGTTTATTCTGGGACTGCTGAAGATGCTTAAATACATAGTTTGTGTGTAATTTTAAATCATAGCAGGTAGTTGAACGAATTGAATAGGTGAGTCCCACAAAGGGATTTGAATAATAGAATATAACTAGCAGATAAAATGAACAACAAAACAAAACTATGATATTACGGATCATGTCATCTCAAATTTTCCATTAAATTGATCAACAATAACTGTTCCTTTTGCAAGACACCAATGGAAAGTAATAAGTGAGGGAGTCACATAGCAATATTGTTTCATAGCAACGAAAAATGAATTTTTCCCACGGTCGACAGTAGAAAACGTTTAAAATACACGTATTCTCCTTATTATTCAAAGCTCCGTTGTAACCAAAGCACCTGTTACAGAATAGTAGCTAACAATAATTTAAGGCAGATTAGTGATTATTGATTTTGTACTAATATACATATAAATGAACTTCGATTGTATTCGTTAAAAACAATTGATAAATACCACTGAATTATTTAACGCGGATTTATATTGTTTATTATTTATTTGTTTCATAGGTGCTGCTTTTTTCTGAATGGTAAACTCACATAGGCAAAATTGACGTAAAGTTCACGATTGTTTGATTTGATATGGAGTAGTGCAGCTCGAGCGGCCACATTGCTTGTGAAATCGATGAATCCATACACTGTACGATTGGGGCAAAAAATAGATATACATTAGGACTTTCCATATGTTATTATATATCTCATAATGACAATAAAAACAAAAGAGATTGTTTTTCATTCACTAAATATAGTATTTATCGTACAATCATCTTAACATACGCCAAACAAAAGGCCAGAAGAATCATCCAGTTTCACTCGATGCGGAGTCAATCATGAACTTGAGGTACAGGCAAGTATCAACTAGCAATCTTCTTCGGAAAATGACACGAGATGCTGTTTAGAAATGAAAAGTGTTCTCTTTATGACTCATCAACAGAACAACAAGGAGAATAATCTCAGCCGTAGTGGAAGTCTATTGAAGGGACCATTTCCTTACAACCCAAATGCATCAATAGATAATGAATCAAGAGTACGTGATTGTTCTTGGTGAACAAACAACCTGAATATACGTTTGAAGAGGCTACTGGTTGAAATATCATGTTTCCAAAGCATTTTTATCACCGCAATTTACATTATTTTATGCTGGTTTGTCGAATGTGTTTGAATGGATGATTTCTCTAGCTCAGAGACATTACGATTATTTTCATTTTGACGAAAAGGACTTCAAACTTGGAAACTGAAGCCGTTGAGAATGGAGTGTAGACATACTTTCCCCTTCCGTGCCACTGATAAGCTTGACGGACCGAATCAGTTCCTTGTCCGGAGCCAAGGTGTGCAGCTGTTCCTCTGTGAACGTGGACGGTAAACCCCGAATATACAGATTGGTTTTTGATGAATGCTGAAAAGATAGCACAGAAGTACTCTGAAAGAGTTTTCTCACCAATATTTCATGCAGCTTGCTGTAAACAGATAATTGGACACTGGGAAATGAAACTCAGTTTATCTATACAGAAAGAGGCAAATATCGCGAAATGCTAACATCTCGTATAATCTTCACGAAGTTAGTAAAAATGCCACCTACATAAAGCTTTCGTTCAGAGGTGACCATATATACAGTGATGTACGCCATAAGTTGAGGTCAGCTCTAGACCGTACATTCCCGGCTACTCAACTCAGACTCATAGTCTCCACTCGTGGAATTGATTTGGGCGAACTTATATATGATTAGTAAACCGGTGCCGTTTCATGCACTGCATGCCAGTTCACCTGTGGTTGCGGTGACGCATACACAGGCAGAATCAACAGATGGCCGAACATACTCCAAAGTGGTTGGTAAAATCGATGACGCAACCGACAATCGACAGTGAAGTGGTCACAAGAAATCCAGGGTCATCTCTTGCAAAACATACCATGACAGTAAGACACAATTGACCCCAAATCGTCTTTCAAACCACTATTACGTAATAGTAATGCCAAACGTTTAGCACCTTGTGAAACGCGGCTTGTTGGATTAGATCACTTTTCCTTATGAGCAAAAACGTTTTTGGTATAACGAATCCATTTACCGTGGATTTGACCTTTTACTTCTTTGTATGTTTAAACACTTTCTTTCAACCCCATGTGCCTGCTTGTTTAAAGTCAGTGATTGAGAACATTAAACGAAATGTTAACATCTCCCTACATTTGTCTTCTTTCTGTATTGATGAAATGGATAAAGGGGACTCAATGTTCAAACTCAGTTTAGTTGATTCACACCCATGATACGACTGATTGCATTGCATTAAGTGCTGAGTTAAAACTCAAATGGGTAACTGTTTTTTGATCAGCTTCTCACAATTGGAATTATTGTTCACCTTGATAGAAAACAACAACAAAGCTGTTGGCTATAACTCGTTGGCTCTTCTGTGTCCCTCATTTATTCGTATGAAATCATGGAACATCAATAACCACAGTTAGTGAACTTATACATTGTTTTCAAATCATGCTCACTTTCTTCTGGCGTGCGTGACTGATTTGAACGTTGGACCCATTTCGAGCCAAGTCATCCATGAATGAGGGCATTGAATGCAATATCATGGATTTGGAATCGCCCAGAATGGATCCACCGGCTTTTGCGTGTCCCAACAGGCCCGACTGTGATTCGAAATTTGGTTTCTGATTTTTACCATTCTCGGAGATTTTGAGCGGCTGACTGTGTTGTGTTGAACGAATTGTGGCCAAACTTTGAACCGCCAGTGATTCTTTCCCATTTCGCTCACCAGATCCAATTATAGATGCTGGTATTTGATTTGACGTCATACTTCCGGACATGTATTGCCCACTGAGTGCAAGAGCGTTTTGCATCATAATATTGGCGTTTTGTGAGGAGATCAAAATTGGTCTTATCGGGTTCTGATTCTGCGGGGGCGGATTCATTCCGGATGCGTGTTCACTATCCACGGGAAGAGTGCAACCGGACCACTGATTGACTTCCGGTGGATAACTCGATGGAATTTGTCCAGGGAGTGTCAACTGGTTTGTGCACATTGGCTCATAGTGTGGTGTTAAAGTGTTGGCCGAATTCAAATCCTGAGCGGTGCCAATTACCCCGGTAGGAATGTCGAAATTGGTTGTTGCAGTGTACGCTTGGTGTAGATTAGCAGCCTCGTGAACAGCTTGAGCCGAGAGAACAGCTGGTGGACTGCTATAGGCAGAATCACTCCCCGAACCAACATCGGCACTGGGAACTGTTGGAGTTGGATAGAGCATTGCTGTGCTTGGAATGGCGAACAACTGGCCATCAGCACTGTAAACGTATATGAAACTTGTGGGCATTACACAGGAATCACCATTATTGTTGTAAGTGATGACATTAGGCATGATGGGTCCGGTGGTTGCGTTCCCATCCGGAATACCTGCTCCTAGAATATACGAACGCGAAATGTCTGTTGACTCGGATCCCGTTATAGGCACCGCAACAGAACAACTATTTCCCTGCCGCACACCATCTCCCACAGTAAGCAGTGATCGTGGTTTAGTCGAAAGTGATGATATATACGTGCTTGTTCCATCATCAGCCTCTCTGTTTGGATTGGCTTTCAAATCTCCTTGACGAGTTACGTTTTTATTCACGTCCAGTGCATCTGTTCTGTTTGTTTTTCGTTCCAGTTGGTTCAAACCATCGGTCGAAACAGGCATGTCACCAGTCCCTTTGCTCATATCCTCGGTTTGTACAGAGACGCTGGGTAGTTCTTGGCTTGAGCCTTTGGCACTTAAAGATGTTTTCTGTACACAGTAATTTTTTCCACTGTGTAGTTTACTGTCTGTTAGAAAAGGAGAAGAACATGAGACAAACAAAATGGATTTGTTTGGAAAAAATGGTCGTTCGACATAACTTTAAGTCTCACTCATAAAAAGATCGGTACTCAATACCTAAATCATCATGACAGTTCTGCTCACGTCTAACAGTTAGGCAAATATGTCACGTGAAAGTTTTACACAATAGCCGTTACTTATCATCTATATACTCTCATTTATTGACTCCCAAATCGTAAATTACGATCTTTGTGGACATCACGTATCTCATCTCCGCTGCTCAAGCTGTTCACCTATAAACGTCATTTAAATTTCCCGTATATTAATGGATCTTTATGCGGCATATCACCTAGCAGCTCAAAGTAATGATATATTGTCAATATATCACTGTGTATTATAAGTTTCAAAGGTGAAAAGTATCCTTTATTTTAGTGCACGATAATCTTCATTGTTTTGCAGCGTTTCATAGGTGCGACGGAAAAATTAACTTATGATCGACCGCAGCATGGGAAAACTGAATCTCCGTATGGTTGCACCGAACTATGGCGAAAGAATGGGAAAATTTATGAGTATTCATTTATATATGCATATATATATATACAAATATATACATTGGTCTAATCAAAACTGAAGCAACAGTTCCCTATGACGCACTTGTGGGTTCGTATAGGCAACAGCATTTATACTGGGGTAATTTTTTTTCCAGATAATAATAAGCAAGCTTTATTTAGTCTTTATATCATTGATTTTCCTGATCCGTTTATACTCAGTAGATGGAATGGTTCAGAATATAGCGGATACTTTTATTTCATCGGTAGACCATGATGAGCTAGGAGGTAAATAAAGAGAACGGCACAGTTTTTATTTACAACAACCGATATGGCAAGGGTTTGTGGGAATAATTTATGATAATTCTTGCGTCATTCCTATTAGAAAATATTGTCTTTTCATAGTTGATAAAGTTTGTGATTATTTAATCATGGCAACCAAGGATAGGCACATTTAATTGGCACTCATGCAGACTAGAAAGTGCGTAGATCGAAGTGGATAATATATAAATTAGTGTCAAAGCCTAAAGTAGTTATATAGGTGATAGATGTAATGAAACTGAATTTGATCATAAAGATAATATTTTAGTGCATCATAATCAACCAGTACTAAATATATATATATATGTATATATATATATATATTTGTGTATATACTTGTATGTTTTTGTGTGAGTGTTAATCTCACCACTTATGTCCTCGTATGAGAAATTTTTCTTCGGCACATTCAGCTTTACGTTTACGCTTACAAGCAAATCTAGTGTATGACCTGCAAGTGGTGTACGCAAAAAATATAATCCAAATATCAGTATAGTTATTGCCAAAGTAGGGTCTGATCCAATTCCCCAGATCGTAATCGGCTTAAGTAGTAATACATCGATGCGCACAGTCAGCCGGTTAGTTGTAAAAAGCATATTTGCTCACATTTTGCCGCATTTGGCAGATCGATTTGTTTTGATTCCAGATAAACGTGCTCTAATCAATCTCTCTGATTTCCCGGAAAATGTTACTTTGGTTCGCTAGAGTTCTGCCGTGATGACTAATGTTGATTCGTTTGTCTGTGCGCGTGCGTGCGTACGTGTTTGAGCACACGTATACTTGTGAACATATTCGTATATGCTTGATAATCAGTGGCGCCTCGACCGAAATTCGGAAGTCATAAAACTGCGAGCAATTGAGTGACATATCCAAATTATGCCTATTCTTATCACTCTACCTAATTCATGTGCAACTCAAATGGTTTTAGGAAGGCTTGCGGAAAGAAAAATTTTATCGTAGCTTGTGATCACTTTTGCGTGAAATAAAGCAAAGCAGATTAACACAGTAGGTGCTTTAAACACATCTAGAATGAACTATTCCAAACACCTGACATCTTGAGTGGAGATATGTATTTTTAAAAAGTTTAAATAAAATAAAGGGACAGGAATACTTCATTTATGAGGATTGTTGTGTTGATAAAAGCGTTTTTTGGGATCGCAGGATGGTGGTCTTGCTTTTCCAAGGCTGTCGCTACACAACTGGGAAGAAACGTGACATAATTTGAACTATGCCTGTCATTATGCATTGTCTTCATTAATGATTGAAAAATACAAGGCCGTTTCACGATGAAACTGGCATCTCAGATCTTCCAGTGCTGCGTGGGAATGCATGCGTGAATTCAACTAAATAATATTTTCCAAGAACAATTTATATTTATAACTGTTTTTTCGGGGTGTTTGTACCCGGATATCTTGCATTAATTTCTGTTCTAATTAGCAAAATAGCACAACAGGCGTCGTGCTTCGCCCGCAAATCGCCGGAGCTTCTTAAAGCCGCCTGATCGGCATTCTCTTCTATTAAATGTCCTGCAGCCATTCGAATATGTGATTTGCGACTGGGTTACATTACATTCAACTAATGATGGGTTTATTGATCCACAGTGTGGCGTACAACAACATAGTGTGCGTTGGTGCACACGATGTGCCCGGATCTGGACTCCAAGACAATTTACACCTTTTGCTATCGGCCCACGATAGATCACATTGGTATGTGATTTCTGTGTAGTTGGAACGGCGTCACACTAGAGGATATATATATATATATGACTGGTTTGGTTATAAGGTAGACGCAGCTAATCTAATAAACATATAAACGTAAAACTTACATTCATTGAGGTCGGTGAAAAATGGACCGTGGAAAATGCGTTTACTAAGTTAAAAATTGGCAAGAAAGGTCACTAACTACAGCATTTACCGCAATTCATTGCCCATTTCATTGGATATAAAATGCAAACGGAGCTCTGGCATTATTTTGTTCTGGAAATTGTTCTCTTGCTTCTAAGTATAATTTGTTATCTACCAATGCACGTGAATTGACTAGGAAAATGGTTACATTTATTGCACTTTTAAGTAACTTCTTAGATTGAATTTTCCATCAATCTCAGAAAACACAACGCATGAAACGTTTACCTTTTTCGGTGTTATTCAAGCTTTCAAATCTGATTCATTTTATCATTGTATAATATCACTATCATTTGCTAAGAGTCACAGAATATGCCCATTGATTGATCGTATTGAAATTGTTTCATATAAATGTGATTGTAAAGGTTTGAAAAAGAATTCACCGAAAACATATGTTCACCTACACTATATTTGCTAAAAGGATTTTGGAACATGTAAAATTGTCAGCAAAACTTTAAAAAGTTAATTCGTCAATCCCAGATTACCACATTAACAATCTGTGATGAAATAACGTTGGGACGCACGCCCAGCGATACCTGCTTCACTGGGATGAAAGTAGTTCAGTTTTGGACGACAGGAGAGACAATATCATCAATTATAAAAGAAAATCGTCCAAATAATATGGAGAAAAAATGTTGACCAAATAACGAAACGGAATAATAAACATTAGACTATAGCGGCTTCATTCTCAGCGTAAGATTCGGATCGTGGCTTAATTTTGAAGTGAAATGCGATCGATCGACTGGAGTCAAATCAAGCATTGTGAAAAATGGCATAACTTTTTCCATTCCGCTTATTTCCGTCAACTTTCTATGGATTGAAATGATGCTTGATATTGAGCAAAAATTAAAATAACGCAATATTAGCAATTCATTAGTTACATAAATTAAATAAACTATACTTTATTATCATAACAACCACACAAAAAGGATATGATAGTGAAAAACTTTGACAATACTGTTTTAGACATTAAAAGAATATGACCTGCTTTGAATCCTTCAATGTAAAAGGAAAGTACATAGGCATATTGAAACCTTTCAAATTGATAATCCTATTCTTCAATGGAATACCATGAAAAAAACTCAAAATAACTGACCTCAATTACGGACTTTCGAAAACTCAAAGTTTTCATACGGGTAAAAAACCCACGGATTTCACGAGAACAAATGTGATGAGAATATTTGGTTTGAAATACTTAATAGAAGCTCAAACGAGCCCCTTATCTTATCAATTCGAGTTGGCTCTTATCGGTTTATTTCACGCAGCCGTTTCACGCTATCGAACGAGCGAGCTGACAGTAATTCATTTCGAGAATCATGGCTACAAAAATTGAATTCATGTTCACTCAGGCGATCAATCTAAGTTATAACCAAATTAGCAGGTGTTTATCAAAATATGCAAACCACTATTGTGCAATAATGTGAACCTCTGAATTCTTGTTTTCATGACTGAATTTGAAAGGGAGGTTACACAGTCCAACAAGGTATTTTGTGTTGGTTGTTGTAATGTGATCGCTGCTTGTCATTTATGTTTCAGGAATCGTTTGCAGATTTAAACAAGCTGCGCGTTATGTTCTATAAGTCATTACTGATAAATCATACCATGTATATTGGAGTATATGAGCAATGCCTTGTGACTTAAGAGCCTACGTTACATACAGAATCAATCACATCTCAGAAAACGTATTTCAGGAACCCGTCAAGTATTGAAGACTTTTCTTAATGTAAGCAAACCAAATGTTTCAACTTGATAAATAGATCATATCCACTTTAAATAATTATCAAAATGTCAGGTTTACACATAATGGTTGTTGAGTATACGATAGACGTTCTGCTACTGTACGTAGTCGACGAAACGATGGTCTTAATCTACTTACCGGGTGGCAGTTGAATACCGACAAGCTGACCGCATAGCTCATTGGTATTTCCAAAATTTCCACCAGAAAAATCAGGTCCACCGTAGGGATTTGCGGTTTGGTGCCATGAGCTCGGAAGCAAGGTGGGACCATCCGTTTGTGCCATGGGAGAGAACTGTTGACTGGATTGTTTCACATCGCCTGTTGCATTCCTTATCCCTGTGTCAGACGTTTGAGCATAGTGGTTAAATTGGAAACCCGGCAGCAACCAGTACAAGGGTTGATTAATTAACATACCAGAAGCATCCATGTGCTGTACACATAAACAGTTAGTGCTTTGAAACAGCGGATTTGGCAGCAAAGCGGAATTTTGTACTACACGTTTATTGTTTCTATCGGTCCACTGTTTACGATGCGTCACAGTACACAACGGATGATTATGCTGTAATTCCATGGGTAATAATGGTCTTATTGGCACAGACTTTCCCGCACGTTGCAGGAAATGAGGTTTACCAATTGAGGAATTGCTAGTTGAAACGGGCGAACCACCGGCACGTGGTCGACGTTTGTTACTCAATGAAGCTCGGATTTTAGGACCAGAATTCGGTAAAGGACTTGAGGAGCTGGAATACGAGCAAAATTTTACATCTGGTTTTTCCACATCCAAAGTCTGGGGTTGTGTTCCGTGTGTGATTGATCGCGAAACGTGTTTGGGCGAAGCACTTGTGACTGATGTAGGTGAAGGTTCCGGACCGGTCGTATCCGGTTGTATTGCACAACTTTCAACAGAATTCACGGGGTGAGAGTGAATAGCTTTTGTTTCTTCTGTATTGCAAAATGATGAAGAGTTTGAGGAACAGTAACCAAATGGGGAATTAGCCCTTGGTTCTCCATGGTAAGAACTGCAAAGCAAGAATGAGGCAAAGAAATACAATCAGTTTCACGAAAGTAAACTAAATAATTTTTCTTCATACAACAATATTGGAAAGGAATTACTTATACATTCATTTTCTTGGATGTAAACTCGCTGCCTGTGGACTTCTATCACCCATTCACTTCGTTATCTTAGGCGGTATAGTAAATCAATCATTTTAAAGTTGACAAAATCCAAGGAAATCTGTGAAAACGAAAGGCTAAGGTATTCCCAGTTCTTCATTCTCCTACCTTCGTAATAATCACAGGGGGCAATTTAGTTATAGTTGATTATTGAGTTGGAAGTGTTTGGTGTTGTCAGTAATGAGCAGAATCCGCAGTCAACACATTCGATACCTAAAGAACGATGCAGTTCTTTTGCAAGCACAGTTGAATAGGATAAAATTCTAACTTCTGCAGCGCGATATATGTTGGACATCAGCGTAAAGGTTTAGGTAACGTGACTTATGTAAACATTACTTTTTCAATTTGGAAAAGGTTGGTTTACTTTCCTGATCCTTTTAAGGGTTTATCAATGTTCGGACAACGAGTGACGTATAAATAATTAATACTTGTAAACTGATCCACGAACAGGTTTACTACATTGCTGTTATGAAACAAAGAAGTGTTCTTTCAATAAACTGCCTTCTGTTGGCGTAAGAACTCTTTTCGATGTCTACGAATAAAGTGCATGCATGTCAATTCGCTCTTTTTTGCTCAAAGTTTAAACAATTGATTTCGACCCTGATTCAGTGCAGTTGGTATTTTCAATGCTCAGTGGTCCATGGAATCTCTTTTCTGTTTCATTTCTGTTTTAATGATGATCACTTGACTCAGCAATAAAAATAAATGATACTGGGTTGCAAATAAACGAGGTTTGAAAAAGATTCCATGAGAGATCTGGGATGCTTTAACAGATTTTACCACCTTCGAGAACCACCTCAATGACTGTACGCTGAACCTCGAGTGAACCTGCGTCTAGTATATGGTATTGGTTACCGGTGGCTGAAATCACTCAGCATAAGGAAAACTGACTATTTGATGTAATGAAATTTTCTTTTCTATCCTATGAACTGTTCGCTGCTCTTTTGAAATCAATATACTTCTGGGTCGGTAATCACCAATTCCTGTTGATTACCTTTTTTCGGTCCATTTATTTTAAAATATGCCTCATGCAGAATCAATATTCCCGAGCACGTGAGTAATGATCGGGGATCTGATTATATCTAGCGATGGTTGCTATTACTAAATATCATCAGTGGTTATAAAATAACTCCCACTAGAACTCACCCTTTTCTTGAGTGCTGCAATAATCCATCAGTTCTTTTCTGGGCTGAGTTAGAGGTGTCAAAGGTTTCATCGATCGAAGACGACGCTCCCGGACTAGATAATGCTAGCCCCGAATCGTTTAGAATGGGAGAGATCTGTTGAATGGGTTGGATTACCTTGCGATTTCGTCTCAGTTCAGCAACAGTTAAACATTTGCTTTTGCTCGGCACAAGTGTGCTTGAGTCGACTGATTCCGATGCCTCAGTCGAATTCGATGTTGAAACCGCGGTATTGACTTCGCATGCTTTGCTACTAACTGATTTCTGTTCTTTTGAAGTACTCTTGTGACTATCCATTTGAGAGGGGAGATTTTTGGTCGAAGGTTCGTTGCTCTCGACCTAGTTAACAGGACAAAGCACAAGGCACATTATGAAACTAACCTTGACCTTAGTTTAATTGAAAGCAAAATAGACATCGAAAAAGAAATCAATTGAGGCTGATATCGAAATATCACCTGATATTTTGTGCCAGCTGTATAATGTCCCTAATCAAACATACGTTCAATTCAAATCAATCATGTATTTTCCTCGCATAGTGAAAACTATTGAGGTGCAATTAAATTGTTCCATATTCATGTTCTGGATGATTACATCCGTGGGAAACTAAATTATTTTCTGACATTATTTTTGGATTTCAGTGTCTTATTTGATGATTTTGCTGGTCTTGTTTCATTGATGCTATACAGGGATAACATTTTTTCGATTATTGTAAGTCAGTATATCATGCAAATTATTCTTTTTAAGGTGAACGACCTCAGACTTATTGTTCAAGATGATCTAAATTGTTATTTAAACTGCTCCAAGCGTTCGTACACCACTGCAAGAGCCGTTGGTTTTCGAACGCGATTATTTGGCCAATTAGCACCTATGATGTTCCCATGTTTGTAATTAGCCTACATTAGATACCCCATAGAGAAAGCAATTTAGGAGTGAAATCTAGGACCTACACGCGAAAGTAAGATTCTAGAGTATCTACTATCTATCTACTATCTATCTACTACCACCAAAATGGTCAAGGAACTGTATTTCAATACTTATGTGAAAAGACTAGGGTCATTAGGGTTGTGCTCTATACAGTATCGCCGAATTCGAGTGGACCGTATTTTGGTGTATTAACTAATGCAGAACCCTGCACACTTATATCGCTCACTGTTTACCTTGTCGTCTAACGCTCACCTGAGGGAGCATTCATTCAAATTAGTGCCCCAAAGCTGTTGACTAGAATGCCGGCGTCATTCATTTGCCTTCAGATTGTGTAGCATTTGGAATCCTTTACCACCTCACGTTGTTTATGTAACCACAATGGATTCTTTCGAGCACAAACCGGATAAAAACTTTGACAAATCTTAAATTTTGTCGTTCATAGCCGTACCGGAAAGGAAGAAAATTCGTGACGTTTCTTATTTCTCTATGTTCTGTAAATCGATCCAGTTGTCCGAAAAACCCTATGGGACAAGAACAGCAATCGCTTGAAAGTATTTCCCGTAATAAAACTTTGACTGTAAAGTTTCTGGGTGAGTTCCTGTTTTCTGTAAGTTTGTGGCTTAAAACTGGAAACCTTTGTAATTGTATGCTTTCGGTTTAACTTTGATAGTGTTGTTAAGACAAACCATGCTATCGAACAACAGTAAGGATGAAGTTAAACAGTCACTGCAGCTTCAACCACAGTCACGTGATATACTCAAAGGAAACGCTCATGTATGACTATATGCCATCAATTCATCACTGTTTGATAACTGAAACCGAAAAGCTGCTTGAAATAGATGGAAAGACTGGTTTCCAGTTTCATCATAAGAATTTCTTCATATGTTGTATTATTTCAACGAATAGAACCACACTGCAGATATAGCCAAAAAGAAGCTAAGAACAACTCATGAATCAACTGATCATCATTAGGAAGTGCTTTCTCAAAAACTATTGAAAGAACCCACCGATTTCGATGTTGTTTGTTTCCGACTTTTTGAGCTTTTTCCTCCTTTTGTCCTGGATGCACGTTTTGTGTGAACTTTGGATTCCTTCGGATGAAATACAAGTGTACTAGTGGATTTTGGAATCAATGTGACATCCGCGTACATGTCTAAATCCTCGACTAAATCATTTGGAGCCGAATTGATCACATTGTGCTCGGAACTGGATGCCTTATCCACGGTGAGTAAATGATCAATGTGTGTTGTAAGACCACTCTTATCCGCGGAATCCACGTCGCAATGACTTGTTTGACTGCTGCTTATACTACTCCGTCCGGAATCGGTTGAAGAACATGTACGACGTGATTCAGTCACATGTTCGTCCTGTTCACTGTAAACCGGCTCAGCTGTTGTTGCTGTTGTTGTTGCCGTCGTTGTCGCCGCGGTGGTCGTCACTGCTATCGGTCGGGACGGGGTCTTTTCCGCCATTTTTGAAGATGACTCACGATCAGTCGGACGCACACAGGCACTGCTTTTTATTGCGCAAACATTTAAACCAGAAAATCACGATACATTACGATAGACATTCCGGGTGATAGATGAAATCATGGGAGCAAGTATGACGAACAGGAGAAATCCACAAAGAGCTATCAGTAAAATGAATTGATGAAAAGGATCGGTCAGAGATGACGTATGGCAGGTATGAACGTGTATGTGCGTATGCGCGTGTGTGTTCCTATAACTTTCAGATCGTTTGCATCAATGGATGAGGCCTACTCGCAACGAGTCTCCATCAATCTCTCCCAGATTGTGTGCACGAAGTTCCCAAAATCGCAAGCAATCCTCGCGCGATTGAATGCAAACGACCAGCCAGCCGGTCGAGAGCTTCTGTACGGAAAGCGAGCACGCTTGCTATGCGCCGTAAAGTGGGATGGCAAAGATGCAAGGCAGACTTTGACGGACTACGACGCGCTTGTATCGTTACGATCGCGCGCGAGCGCGCCCATGCGCGCGAGTGCGCACAAACCGGTGATGAGGGAGAAGCGCACGTGCGGCGGTCGTGTGCAGGGTGCAAACACACACACACACCACTCCGTCGTCCTCGGCTATTGACCAATCAAATAGTGTTCATTGTGGGAGATAAATGTTCCTCTAGTCGAAGAATTAAGTCCACTTGTAGGTGTTTGTGTGTATGCGTGTTTGTGTGTGCGTGTGTGCGTTAGACCTTGAAGAATTTTGGCTTTACAAACAAAAAGAAAACAATGTTCACGTTTGTTAGGTTAATTTCCAAATTAAACCCTTTAGCTCAGAGGTCTAAAAATTCAGGAGGATTTACTCAACATGGGAGATAAAAGTTGAGTTTCCCCATTATCAGGTGACACTGTTTAACCGCACAATATGAACCGTACTAAGAACACGAGGAACTAGCAAAAATGATGAGAAATATGGAAAATGTCAAACCAATCATTCTGAGTAATAGTTTATGAAACAAAAACACTGCTCCATATCCGGACATTCAGGTTCAGTTCCTGTTGCCAGGGAGTGGCAAATGATAAATTGACACAGTTCTTGAGGTTCGCCTACCGTCTTTCGTGGCTGTTGGCAAATTTCCTTTGAGCGAAGATGTAGGAAAAACACTTAGAGGACGTATTACAGATAATAGGGTTTCCGGATGTCATCTCAGCCAGCAATTTATTTGTACTCGAAAATGATAAACAAGGAGAAATAAAGTTTTAGTTGTATGCACAATATGTTTCGATTGTTGATTGCCTTTAGCACTGCACTGTGTCCTTTCACTGGGTACTTAAAATAGTTTGTCATGGCAAGAGTACAAAAGGCTCAGATCTATAGGCAAATTAGTTGCAAATGTATATCATGCGGTCAACGAATGTCACGTTAACTTTGGCAAAATACAGTTGACTACATCACGTTTCTTATGAGAACTTTGCAATTCGGCTGGCAAAGTGATATACCCTATCAACATGATTTAACAAATAACCAATTTATATCGATCGGTATAACATTTTTGAATATGTTATTAGGCCACTATCAACAAATATAAAACATATATATAAACAGGTACAAGGAAAACAAGACTTATTTGATGAAGCAAATAGAGATCCAAATTGAAGGCATTACTCACCGTCATAAACTTCCTGTGAAAAATTAAGGGTTATCCCTTTTTACAAAATTTGAAGGATTACTAAATCGCCGAGTGAATAACTCCGAACGGTACGATCTGAATCCACTAAACAAGGAAGCTTGGCCATACTGGATCAGCCGGGCTGGAGGGGAAGTTATAAGAGTGCAAACAATAAAATTCATGCAGGGTTCTGTTCTCTAATGTCATGTAAATAGTGCAGCTCTGTTTCAACGTCAGATAAAATGGGGGACAAGTAGCCAATCGACTCATGAATCAAGTGTGTTCTGTGCAAGCCAGATTCTCCTCCGGAAAGCAATAAAACTACCAACTGCGGGATCATAAAAGGAAGTCGTCTGGGAAAGGCACATCGCAGATCTGTTGTAGAATGCGTATTGTCCCCCGTTTTTATCGGGAACACGAATACAATTTTTCGTTTCAATCTAAACCACCAAGCTGCATAAAATCCAATGATCATTACTTGATATTATTTGTCTACCTAATGGTTTATGTAAGATCACAAAGTAAAAAGCCAACTAATAATAGACGAAATTTGAATAGTAGGTTAATCCTGACGAAGAGGCCTCGGTACTTCTGTTTCACTGAAAGGATAATGGTGTTATTCTTGTTAGGTAATTTATCATTTTTTTCAACTTGCAGCCTTACAACGTATCAAAATGAATAAATTGTTAATTATAACTTTCTCTTACTCCCATCAATCCATCGAAATCCCGATAAAAGATGAATTGATACTTGGTTTTTCGCTCAATAGAGTTATTTGTAAAAATAAGATGAATTGGTATTGTTTCTTGGGAGTAATCCAGTGTATTCTAATGCGTTCTGGCGCCCTTATCCAAAACAATTTTTACGGGTAAAATATAATTGTCATTAAACCCGACGTTCAGCCTCACTTTTTGCTCCGAGTTATTCGTAAACACGCTTGTTTCCCATCCCACATGCATCACAATTAACTAGTTTATGAATCATGGTAGCGTTTGTTGATGAAGGTTATTACGTATCTATTTAGTTACCTTTGTTTTGCGTAGTATTTGAGACGGCTTGTGAATGACAAATGCTCGGGGTTCAATCAATGGCTCAACTGACGTTGCTGTGAATAAACGGTTATTCGGTATTCCCTGATGGATAATCTCAATCCGGAAATCGATAAGCTACAGCTTATTGCTTTTAATCTTTGTGCGACCTTCGTTGACCCGCGTTTCATTGTGTTTTGATCGTTAGCTATTAAAGCTTAGAAACCAAAATAATGTCTGTGGGCTATCTGTTTGAATAATATTCACTTTGGGCAAAACTATCCCTGGATAAATTATGACGTTAGTTTTCCCTTTCCCCAAACAACTGTTTGGTGTTTTTTTATTTTTTATTCTAAGGTTGAATACTGATACATATATAAACAGCGTGATATCTATTGAGTTGTATTTGACATGAGTACGAATCACTGAAAACGAGCTTATTTGCCACTGTTTGTTCTATTCGAAACATGGAATGTAATCCCCAACCTTCCAATAATCAGGCTCCCAATTTCCAATAAGACAGTAACAGAGTATTTTAATTCTTTGCAAGAAAACGAAAAAATAATCTGGACGTTTGTTGTAATCGAAAAACGTTCCAGACCTTTTACCTTAATTCACCTGAAATCGAATCGGTGTGACAAAAGGGTAACAAGATAATTTCTCTTTGGTAAGGTTTGACAGAAACGTCACCCTGGACCGGCTTCTTGGAATTGCAACATAAGACTTCCGCTGAAATTACCGGATGGAAAATCAGTATCGCAAAATCATCAAAAAACGGAAGCTACATTTATATTGAACCAAATCGATTTATCGAAGTTCCATTATTCAAATATTCTGGTGATAATTATCTTGCAAATTGCCGCATCCATCGCTTAGGTTTCATTGAATAAAACCGAAAAAACCGCGTGGTATTTTAGTTTTTTAGACTATTAATATTTTTATTTGACAACCTTAAATATATGTGTTGATTGAAACCTTTTATTGAATTTTTGCTCACACTATATCCATGATGATGGAATGAGTGTTTCGCTTTTGAATTGCAGAACATTGATCTACTATTACAGCACAAAGAATAGTTCATGCTGATGGTCTCGACCGCATATGAAAATACGTGCAAAACTGAGTACACTTCTCATTTGTTGGTACTATTTTAGTTCAATAAAAACAAACACAATCTCAAATCATTTCTGATTCTCACATGCGAAATATGGTTGCCCTATCACATGCATCTTTTTCAATTCCTGTGACCGGCGCGAAACCCCGAATTTGCACGAGGAAATGCAACAGAATGTTCAAAAATTTGTCCTTTCCTCCTATCCTACATGCAAATTATCCATCGCCCACCCTAGCCTCCGCTTCCTCATTCCCAACCCCCGCGCAATGGCAACAGCATGAGTGACAGTCTGAACACAGACACACACACACGCAAGATCCTGCACAGATTAGGTTAGGTAGAGAAAGGGTTTGACCTCTTGAGGTATGCTCATATTGCGTGTCCCCATCGGGAACAATTGTTCTCAATCCCCGTCCGTGTACCGACCCGAAGTAACATTGACCCCGTTTCCGCCAGCGTTTACTTGCTGCCAATTCTTTACCAGAATTTTGCAATAAATCTGTCTTTTATTTTTTTTAATACCATCATCCAAATAGACGGAAAGTAGTCGTTGTTCCTCATTCATCAAAATCGTTTCTTTTCATTTGAAATGAAACAAAAAAGACGGATTGTGTGACCTCGAACACAACTATTAGGCAAAGTTTCGTTTCCACATGCTCATCGATAAGTTTGAGATTTGCATACATTGCACATGGCTTGAAAAAAGACATTTCGCTTACCATCGATATTATTTACATTTCATTCTCACCACCACCAGTAAATGCATCACACTCGTGCAAATTTCAGTCAGTTTGGTGAATTGAAATTGAGGCGGAATGTTAACCCGAAATGATGATGAATGACTTTGACAGAACTGTCACGGGCAGTCAAATCTGTCTATCCGTTTGCTGGTGTTTTAAAAGACCATTCGAAGGTAAGCCAAACGTGCGTGTGTGCGCAAGCGTGTGTGTAAAAAGTATCTTCTGCGCAGGCTACAGGGCACGAGCTTGGGCACATATGCGCACGGTGGATAAATAGTTGGAGTCTTCGAGGTAGAAACGAAACCAAACGTAGGCGAAACGCACTTGTGATACTATCCGTCTGAACCGATCGCTTCTCTTCCTGGCTAAACGGATGTCAGCGACACGAACCACTCATTATCTTGTTTATGTATCATGCCGATGAAATACCGATATGATGATGACCGGTGTACCGTGACAACAAA